GTATACGTTCTTTTGGGTATAAAATGATTTAAAGTACCCCTAAAGTTCTTCTCTAATATAGCCGAAATCGTCTCGAGTTGTTGGTTCGCCCGAGCGCGAAAGGCCTCGAGTGCAAATAGTTAATGCGTTTTCGCCGAGATCGTAATGAAAGAATGATCTAATAAGGATGTTATTAACTCGTACTGGTCGTCATTGAGGATTCAGTACCGACGTTTCGTTAGAAATTACGAGCCAGGCTCGTCAGAGATCTGAAGACGCGTTGATACTGATAACCAGCGAGGATATCAGTACCGGTTGCATCTTCTCTTTGATGAAGTTGCCTTGAGTTGCTTGTAATGAATTTCCACGTGAAACGTCGAATGGCGGAAGAGCAATTTTAGGCTGATGATATTAACATGCGAGAGGCAAGGGTTCATGTTAACGACGACGATGCCCAGATTGTATATTTGGTTTGTTGGTAGCCAAAATTCCTCAATGCAAACAAATGTGTCTTTCAGTCATTATATTTAAGTACTCCAGCATTAATTTTTCGTGATTTTCATAAACTAAATGGGAAAAATAAGACTGTCTCGTACATTTCATACGATGGCAGTAAATGAATAAGTTATGGTTTCCTGCAGGACTTTTATCGGTTCAGCTTTGCTTCTTAGTGTACGTATTCCTGAGGGAGCGCGACATCCGGTTGTACGAAGTCGGCATACCGACAATACAAAATGACGTTTTCCCTTACCGTTTCTGGGAATAATGCAGACTGGCTAAATTATTTACGCTTCAGGAAGGCGTGGTACGACTTCCTGGTGGACAACGGCGATCAGGTTTGCCGCGTCCGTTGCAACTGGTTGTCACTGCGGATGAGTTGATACGTTTCGCTGTGCTTCACTTCCGGGTGAAACGCTAGTCTGCGTTTAGAAACGAGATCACCGGAATCTCTTAGTAGTTTTGACTTGATGTTTTATAAAAGAAAACGGATTCTTTGTGGAAAGAACGTGGATCGCAAAATGGAAATCGCGAGGGCATTTCCCATATTTCATCTTTAAACGTTGAAACAGTAATTTTCCATAATAATAGCGCTCGGTAAACTACGGTGGTTAAAACTTGGCGAAATCTAATTGAAGCGATTTCAAAAGCAATCCTCTGTATTTTACTATCATTACGTTGTTCCCCAACGAAACAGAAGTAAAATATTTTGCATCGTTTCTTTCGTTTTGAAAATACGATTCTAATTTCTTTCTGAAATAAGTTATTTAGGATTAAAACGAAGATGTAGTACATGTTTCGAAAAATTGATATTCGTGTGGGAAGGCAACATAAATTCGTTCTCATTATATGCACTGCGCTCACATTCGAATCGTACGGTCGCATTTGAATGAAGCTGGGAAGATGATAGCGAGCATATTCTGTCTAAACGTAGCTTTAAGGGTGCGAACTTCGTTTAAGAACTGGGTAACGCGAAACGAGGCCATCGGCCGGAACTTGGAGCATTCTACTAAACTGCGCCACAATCTCGCACGCGCAACTCTGCCGAGGTGCAGCCAAAGACAAGATAATCTGATGTAGTCATCTGTGCATCGACCGTGTTGTTCACCAAATATACACTGGCTTTATGATGGAACCGATTGTCGAATCTCGTATTGCGAATAATTGTAACAATCGCGTGGCTCGTGATTGGGGAACTCGGACCGAGCGAGTAATATCGCGGACGATTGATTATCGTTCAGCATGTTCCTGGATACGAGGGATCCGATAGAATTTGAATTTAAATTGGAGAACGCTGAATATTTTTATTTCTGTCCTTAAATCGTGATCGAAAACTACTTTTAATTAATTTTTAAGACTTTGCTTTACTACGTTTCGTTAAATTCGTTGTCACTATTTTTAGATGGCAATTTGAAGGTAATAGTAATTCATTATTTGCATTGGAATTTGTTAATCAGACAGACAATGTATAAGTCCTTTTCACAATCAGTTCCGGTTGTAACGTAGTAGACCTGACCAAAAACTGCAGTAAAACTTGGCGCAACCTAGTTCAGAATCTACTTACTCTAATTAGGGTCTCGCCTTCGGATTACGGTGTTCGTTTCCCAATTTACGAACTCTGAGTGGTAATTCCAAGGGTACGCGCGTGTTCGCCTCGTAAATAAGGTCCCATATGTACATATAGACCATATAAAATTGCAGCTCGGCTACCTGTTATTGTCTCTCGTTCGGGTAAAAGATATGTAACATAGAAAATGTCTGGCTCTGTTTAAATCATCGACCGTCATCCCCGTTAACCAACTCATTTCCACAAAGTAGTCCCCAGGCGGCGATATAAACGGTATATCAGTTCTCACTTTTGTTTCCGAGAGGGTAGAAGCGAAACGTCAGCCGAAAATGGTAGCTGCCCGATCGGAGAACGTTATCGGGAAATATTTTAAATCATTATATATATATATGAGTCTCTTTCATATAGAAGGGAAGAGCATCGGCTGTCCCGTGAAACGTAATTCATACCATAACGGCCACACCCTCGTGGCCGACCCTCTACGCACCGAGGCTGGAAAATGGGTCTGGCGCCTTGTAAAGAATATAACCTGGATCCCTTGGGGGTGGACAGCTCTTTTCCGAAGGATCTTATCGTTCATCTTGATTCCAGGCCGGACGTATACTTATTATTTCTCATTACGTCCACGTTTTATGGTCCAATAATTTAGAGCAGAAAGAGTGGACGATCGCGCGGCTTGAATCGCGAATGGATATATTTTATATCTGTCCTCGACCATACGATACAACCTAATAGTTTGAAAATTATGGTATCGGAGCTGCTCGTAGTGAGTGGAGTTTCACGACCTTGAAGTTTTCATGCTTATCGAATTTTAACAATTGATCGGTGTTGAAATTGTTTTTTATTCATTTGTTATTAGCGATAGAGCGTCAGATTCGTTATAGAAGGGAATTATATTTTTGCTATTTTCGTTGTTGTTTAGTTAAATCGAGATTGGATCGAGATTGAACTAAACATCGTTGCTCATCGAGTGGAAACTTTCATCTCTCTGTCCGTCGATAGATAGATATAGTTTATTCCGATTCCGCATCGTGGACCGTGAAAAACTCGGTAGTACGAAAATAGAAAAAGCTTTTTTATCATCCCGATAAGCATCTCGCGATGACTTGTCAATCGTGAAGACGTTATATACTATCAATGAGAAATCCGAAATTTTTTTTTTTTAACATCCCCATTATTTTATACAAACTTTATTCATCACATAAATCTTTCTCGCGGAACTTCGATTCGTAGTTCTTTTTTTTACATGTATTCACATTATTCAGTCAGATTGATACGACGTATTAACTATGAGATAAATGACGTTGGTTTTTATGATAGCGGCGAAATAAAATTTCTCTTGCGAAAGGGACGTAGAACAAAACGAGACTAGAACAGTTGTCTGGTTTTTATTGTTGCGACTATGGAATACGGGTACTTACAATTCATGTCCACGTGAACGGACGAGGAGAGCGGGATCGACCTATTGTTATTCGTTGCGTTGCAGGTCAGCACCGAGCGGACGTCGTCCCGTCCTAAATTTTTTATAACGAGCTCGCTCCGTGTCACGCCGTTCCTCACGGTTACCGTTTTGTTGGTGACGAGGTTGTCATTGCGATGCCAGGACACCGTCGGCGCTGGCTTACCTGCAAAAAAAAGTCTCGTTTTTTGACATAATTTTCAAAAACTTCACGCCTCTGTAACACGAATCGTTCATTCTGATTACGACTTTAATCACGTTAATTTACGATTATCGCTGGGATTTAATTAATTTAACCAGCAGTTTGACGGCGATGATTAAAACAAGTTGCCGGGCAAACTATCAATCCCTCACAGCAGCTTCAATACTTCACTAGTTCATAAATCGAATTTTAGACTTGTTTATAGCTTAAACAGCTATAAACGTTATAGTACTCGGGTAATCCATAGTACACGTAGTTTAAGCTAGCAGTTTCATCTTCAGAAACTCGTAAAATTTTAGTAGCAATCCATCGTTTCTTCCTAAAGTTCAACAATATTCTTGCACTTTTGTGAACGTGTACAATTTATTTTACATATTCCGGAACGTACGTTCAAATATTCGTTTCGTACATTAATCACGAAACGGAGGAAAGTACGGAATAATGTAAAACGATTAAAACAAATTTGCGCACGTGGCCACGTGGCACGGGCACCGCACCAGTCGAGCGTAAACTCTGTTGCAAACGAGCCTTCAACGATCCACGGAAGCCGTGTGCTCGTTTTTGGAATTGCCACAGGAATCGTGTTCCTGGTGACCTCCTGAACGGAACGTAACGGAACGGTACGGTACGTGACATTACATTGTACTTACCGCCGTACACGTCGCAGTTGAGCCGCAGAGTGTCGCCCTCCATGTACGGGCCGACCATAGAGTTACGCGCGATCTCCGAGTCATCGACGATCACGATTTTGTGCGGCGGAACTGGAACAAAGATTACCGTAGAAATTATCATCGAGGCGACGTACGTTTAGAGAAAACGAAGTTACGCAGAAAATTTTCTCATCATTTTAGACATGAATTCTTTATATTTTCTATACATTCAATTTTTTTATAAATGCATAATCTGCAGTTTATTAATTAATGAGTACAATGAAAATGCTTGCAACGTTTAGCAGTAGGTAGTGGTTCGAACTGCGAGTATAGTCGCCTTCGGGCGTTGGAAACTCGCGCAAGTCCGCGTCGTCGTCTGGTCTGGTCGCAAGACGGAAGCCGTCGTCGTCGTCGTCGTCGTCGAGCGAGAGGCCGATAACGCGAAATTGGTATTGGAAGATCGTGGTTCAGATACCGCGACGGCATTAAATTGGAATCTGAAATCGATACTGCGTCGGGCGTTCTCTCCCGTTTCGTTCTTGAGCATGGAAAAGAGAGGATCCTCCCTCCCGATGTCCAATGGTATACAGGGTAGTGAAGGTAATTGAAAAATTACCGTCGCCAAAGTCGACCATCGGCGGCATTATGCTTTCGTTCGTCGTCGACGGGGACGTACGTTCGTGTGTCTGCTGGCTCGCGATGCTAGTCTGATCCTGACAAATGGCGCGGGTGAACGCTGCCATTTATCGGCATTAACCTTTGTAGTATTTGTAGTATCACGGTCCGTCGTGTAATACATAATACATCTCTTGAACGATCGTATGGACGGTTTGGGAGGAAATATGACGCGCATCGATGGTATGAATCTTGGCTAGCTTTCATGTGAATAAGCTCTCTCAGTATACTCCTGCTGTATCCAGGAAGAGTACCTTTATGGATTCTAAACGATACAAGCAGAACCGAAACCTTATTAAATTTGTAACTATCGTTGCTTTTTAAAAATCGTACCCTCTAAGAATTTCCTTTGTCATTCGGTTTGGTTGCGTAATGTAAAATTCAAATTAAAGTGCAGAATAGAGGGTCGTAAAGGAATTCCTTATAAATTCCATCCTTCGTACTAAATTTCGATTAGGTTCACGTAAAGGTAGCGCATCTAGTAATTTAATTACTGCGTTAATGAATTCCTTGGCAGGTTTAAGATAGGACCGCGCGAACCGCAAGTAACATTACGGGGGATCGATTAACTGTCCCTTGTAACTTAGACTATTTGAACTGTATCAGCGGTGTTCCAGCGGCAATCGCGGTACGCCCAGCCGGCCAATATTTGATTGTTTGAGCTTGCTCGTTACTCAACAGTAACATTAAGCGGCATTGATATTCCCTCTGAGAGTTGCATCTTGTTCTCACAATTTTCGATCAATCTCGGATGTCTTCATCGATAATCTAGGAATACAAGCTAATATTTTTTTTTACTTGGTGTATCTAGAGTGAACATGAACTGATTTTAAAAGCTTCGTCTCTTTTTTCTCTTACATATGCACATTACGTGTATTGTAGAGTCGCATTTGTGTGTCTTCTTGAAAGTCTACGTTATTCGAGTCTATTGACATATATTTCGTTCCGAATCCAAGAACTGCCTTTATTCAAGCATCCATCCAGTCGATTGCCCCTGTCTCTCCTTAAAGGCTCAGCTCGTATGATGTATGCGAGACGCTCCGCTCGCTTTCGCGATACAAATATTATACAACACGAGAGAAATAGTCAATTCTTTCGTGTTCGCGTAGAAACTACAATGCTTTGCAATTTTACGTACTACGTAGAAACGGAAATATTTCTATGACGAGCATTTCCAACAGCTTGCGAGTTTTAAAAAAGAAATTTCAACCATGCTCGCGTGATTAAAAAAATTTCCATGAGGTAACAATTTCGGCGGATGTTAGGAGGAAATTGCATAGAAAACCTAAACACGTACGTACGATTAACGTTTCGGAGTGGCAACAATTTTCGAGGACTTTGCCTTCTGGCCTGTTAATTATGCGAACGTGTTCAGACTTCTATGCGTAATTTTTTTCAACTCACAGACCTATAATCGACTCCTATAGTTAACCGTAACGTGTTTGTAAGAAATTTTTGTCTTCCTCTAAGGATTTTTTTAATTATTAATTATTTTATGCAAAATATTTCTCGTTTCCGATTTATATCTAATTCATAAAATTTTGAAGTGAAATCCATTTCTCTTCCAATAGCATCTTCGCGTCAATAACTTACGTATATCCGTAGGCAGCGACACCCAGGGAATGTCAGAGTGTCAGAAGAATATATATCTCTCGTTTCGCGAGTAGAGTAGCAAGACATTTATTGCTGGCAATGTAAACGATTTTCTTACGAATATCGCGTCAGTTGCAACAGAGCGACGGAATTGATATTCGTTCACGTTTTGGATGCTGCATATACAGTAATTCGTGGAAGTGATCTTATCATAGAATATTTTTGTGAGTATACCACGTGTTACGATGCAAAAGTTTGAAGTGAGAATTCGAATTCCGATTTCATTTAAATTTTACTCACACGTAACTGCTAATCTGATCAATATTAATAAAAATTCAATGAAACTTTAGTACACGTAATAGTTATTTATTTCTTATCTGTACAAATACATTTATGTCACATTTCTGAACTTTTCACCAAGTCAGTCAGTTTCGTGCACGTCCTGGATTTTCGTCGATGCCCCGATTCATCCTCCGAGCTTCACGTTTTCGATTCCGCTGTGCTCCACTTTCGTCCAGCTTTTTTTTTTTACTTCATCCCTTCTTCTTGTCCACGTGTTCGTATATTTTCGGGTGCCGCGTCGCATTCGTTAATTCCGTTTCCGTGAACAGAATCATCCGCACTTTCGTTGCATCGTATGAGAATCTCGTTCGCTTCCGTGTTTTATGCACTTGGTGATATTGTAATTCAAATGAGATAGGACGGTAGGAATGGCACACCGATTATTCCGTCTCGCGGACTTTCTTTTTTCACGAATTTCAAATCCCTGTCTCCGCGTTTCACTCGCGAGTGGAAATACAAATATATTCAACGGTCTTGAGTAAATTGTTCGTGAAATCCCATCGTACAGTGATTCATTTTTATTGTTAATTCACTCGACTTCGATTTTTTGTTGTTATTCACGGACCGTTTGGCTTTTTAAAAGTGATACAAATTTTTATTCACTGCAAGGATTTTATTTGATCCAAATACGATTTGCAATTGAATGGCATGTTTTCTCGGCTACCTTTCGACAACATGTCCACTTCGTAATCTTTTACGTTTGGACAGTTCGTAACAGAGAGTTCTCGTGAAGATCGGGACGACCGATTCAACCTTGTCCTGGCTTTCGTCGTTTCATGAAAGTAGTGCCGATCTGGAAAGGTCGGGACAAGATCGCGACTCGAGAGTAGTCCGTGTGTTGGCTCAGACGAGGCTCCGGTGTAGATCCTTCCGTCGTGAAAGGGAAATAGGGTGTGAACGAATCCCCGGGTAAAATGGAAACGCTGCGTTGCGAAGGTTCTTCTGCTGGGTTTTCGGCCCAGGGGGAAGTTAATTCAACGTAATGGCGCGAATTTCGAAGGAAATCTGTCTCCGATTCGTAGTACGAGATTGACCGAGGGTCAATGCGTCCATTACCGGGATAAGAAGTTTCAGCAACGAAGTATTTTATACAAATATGATAATATCTCGGTTGACTTAATCTGATGTTCCCATCTTGTTATTTCAGAATTCCTCTGTTATAAAATTTATCCATACTTATTTATCGCTGCCCACAATAAAATACCAATTCTGTTCCCGATAGATATATTCGTGAATCGCTTATACTTTCACAATGAAATCGGCGCAGCTTTAAAGAAATATCTGAGGTTGTGAAAGATATATCGGAGGGCGAAATAAAGGTCCTCCATAACCCGATCCATTTATCCGTGGCGAGCGATCGCCGGAAGATGACTTTTTATATTTTTTCCCCACCCTCTGTAAATTCGCTTTGACAGCAGAAAATACACTCGTCGACCTTCTTATGGATCGGACAACTGCAGTACTCGGAGAGAGGCTCGGCGGGTTCGTAGCTCCGGTGTCTTCTCTTTTCTTCGTCCGCGAGCTTGCTTTCCACCGGGATAAGATTGTCCTAGCGTGTCGAGAGAGACCCACTTTCCGATTCGGTTCTCAGGATATAGAACGGTCGCGCCGCGTTGGTTTCCATTCGTGAAAGGAATACAGGCCGGATTCACGTGTAATAGAATTTCCTCACTCCGTATCTCCAGACTCAGTATAGCTTATTAAATTAAAATTAACTGAATACGTATTCTAGTATAGGTCGTAAAGAACGTTAGCGGATTTGTATTTCTACTTTAATAAATTTTGTATATTTTGGGACGCAATGCTATTACCTAACGCAATGAATATAGGGAAATGTTATGTCAGGGAACTTTGCTTTACAAAGTAATAATAATAATAATAATAATAATAATAATAATAATAATAGCAACATCTTCCTGGGAACGATAGGGAACGACGTAACAAAGCACAAGCCGGCTTAATACTTGACGGGAAACACGAGGCCGGAAGCGATGCGAGCAAGGTGTACCGTCGCGTCGTAACGTGCTTACGAATATGCAAATGCGACGGAGGATGTCGACGAAACGTGGGAGTCGGCCGATAAGTCTCATAACCAATCAGCCGGATTAGATTAATCCCTCCTTCGGTGTCGTTTAAGTAAATCCAGCTGGCGATGAATTGGATCGGCCCATTCGCCATAGTATGTATACGGATTCGATGCCTGGGCAAATTGAATCGCGTTGAAATTCGTTTCAAGCCGCGGCTCGACAACCGCGTTTGTATAATCGAATCACAGCCACGTCTAAACCGTCGAAAGTAAATCCCTTTCTAGTCGATTCGTCGCGTCCCAAGTGCAGTCGCTGATTATTAATTCTTGATAAAGTTCTATTCAGCGCTGCAGGATTTGTAATAATACAAAACTTGGGACTTACTTGATTACAATATATTATGTTCATAAAAGAAACAACAGCACACTGTCCGAAAACGAATGACGGAAAGTTGCATTTCTCCATGGGAAAAAT